AGAGGACTGGAAAAGATCAGTCTACATCCCAATCCCAAAGAAGGGAAGTGCCAAAGAATGCTCCAACTACTGTACAGTACAATTGCACTCATTTCACATACTAATAAGGTTATGCTCAAAATCCTACAAGGTAGGCTTTGCTCATTACCCCCAGGATTTTCATTTTTACCCCATTTGGGGTAATTTACCCCTGTTCCCAGACCACTGCCTCAGAGTAACCAGAGATTTGATAGCAGCATCAGTGATATTAGCCAGAAAATCTCTCAGAGGTGTCTGGAATTCTTCAGAGTCTATTAGTCTCCAGGCTTGGGTTATTTTCATGAAACCACTCTTCTTGTCGCAAAAGCCAGGCCATTTTAATAAGATCCCTATGTTTGTAGATGGAGAAGCTGCTGTACGACTAAACTCAAGAGGAAGGATTTGAACTCTGACAAAGGAATTCATGCAAACTTTCAGATTAACCACCTCTGGCACAGAAAAACAGATGTCCCCCTACATGTGCAGGGCCAATTCATATCTCATGAGCCAACCATGATTAACAAAAAGGTCAGATCCAGACTTAGTTATATTTAGAACAAACCCGTCAAAGTCAATGAGAACTAAATCAGTCATGACAAACAGGTTCCACAGATTTCAGTAGATCTGTTTCAAGGATGACTAAGCTTAGGTCCAACCAACAAAGTGGTAGCAAATCTTAGAAGAGCCCTTGAATGCTGAAAAAGGCTCATCATACACCTTAGATCACAAGCAATATTCATAACTTCCAGCTGTATATGAATTGGATAGAATCTATTTATTCCACTTCCTTTTTGGCCAGGGTTTTCAGCCCAAGCCAAACAGTAGCTGAAAAAAATACCTGTTCTGCACATACTTGTATCCTCAAACCTCTACCCACCTGTGCAGCATCCATTTCATTCAACATCACGATGGAGGAACAGTTGTAATCGAACACCAGTCTCCAGAAATCTGCTACAGTGTTGGGTAATGGGTGCTGGGTAACTACAAAAGCAGCAGGTTGCTTGTGGCTCTGACAAAATCAGAAGGAAGGGAGAAAAATAACAAGAGAAAGAAAAACGCAGAAAGGATTAGTGTTAGCAGGGAAAACTAATCACTATTTATTCAGAAGAATCTTAAACCTAGGAGCCTGTGGGTGGGCAAACTGATCCATGTAACCAGATTATACAAAACAAACCACATACCCTTGTTATCACTGCACACTGAATGAATGAAGCTTTTGTAACTGGATTCCGATGAAGACATTTCATTAGAGACATGGCATAAGAATAAGGGATTATCCCTTATGAATTATGCATGTGTTAGGACTCAGCAATAATAATAATAATTAGAAGGAAATGATTGAAGGTGACAGCTGGTGACAACTAGAAGCAAGACTTTCTTTTCCCTAAAGATACTGAAACCAGAGATGCTGGGATACAAAGAGGTTTTTAAGCTGACACAATGAACTGAACGCAAATAGTTCCTTTCGTCATTTACAAGCTCAGCCCCCAAGTTGTAATAAAAACTCCTTTAGAACACTTCTTAATTGTAGAAACAGTTGTGATGGGGCATGCAAGACTACGTACATCTAAAGCACCTTTGGGATCACTAAACTACTTTTACATGGTTTTGGATTCTAGCCAGTCGTAATGCTCATTCTCTTCTTCCCTTCTTGGGACTCTAAAGCAAAAGCAAAGCAAAGCGTGCTGCTTATATACCGCCCCATAGCGCTTCAAGCACTCTCTGGGCGGTTTACAAGTTAGTTATGCAGGCTACACATCCCGCTCCCCCAACGATCTGGGTACTGATTTTACCGACCTCGGAAGGATAGAAGGCTGAGTCAACCTTGAGCCGGCTACCTGGGATTGAACCGCAAGTCATGAGCACAGTTTTGGTTGCAGTACCGCAGTTTAAGAACTATGCCTCCAGAATGAATTCCAAGTTCAGACAGACACTGCAGGGTTATTAGGTTTTGGCATCTATTTCTGGGGTTGCTGGTGTGCAGGGGCTTGGCCTGAGGAGTGGCAGAAGTCAGGCCTCACCAGGGACTTGATGTTCCTGGAATTTTCTCACATTCTAGGCACCATTTGGTTATGGGCTGAGGAATGGGCCAATTCAGTAGTCAGATTCTGGTGCGATAATAGGGCAATGGTGCATGTCATTAGTATGTTTTTGTTTTATTTTTATTTTTGTAGAGTATAGATGTAACTGCATTGTTTTTTAATATGTTTGTTTCAACTGAACTGTTTTAATTCATGTTGGAAGGATATCATGAAAGTGGGGAGATGGTCCTCCCATAGATATAAACATTACGTGTGGGACTTGCCAAGGCTGTAGGCTGCTGCTGGGTTCTTTGTCTCTTTCTTTCAGATGCAGAGCGACTCAAATGGTGATTGAGGATCCTGTTGTTGTCACAGTTTCATTCACTGGGCGGCAGATTATGCTGCCAGGACGGCATGGAGCTGAGATTTGGGACTGCAACCAGCAGCGAGCTTGAAATGGCTTGGCCGGAGGAATGTGCTGGACATTCTGGCTGATTTGAGGAGCTGGAAGGCAAAGTTCCTGTTTTCAAGAATACAATGGTGCCTCGCTTAACGGGCGCCTCGTTTAACGATGAATCTGCATAGCGACGGATTTTTTGCGATCGTGTTTGCGATCGCATAACGATGTTTCTAATGGGAAAATATCACTTTGCGATGATCGGTAAGCTGTTTCGCTTACCAATTTTCGCATAACAATGTTTTCCCAACAGCTGATCGGTGGTTCCAGAATGGCCACCGGGTAAAAAAAATGGCCACCCGCTGCGTTTTCGCGCCCATTCCCCACTTACCGGGCAGCGAAAATGGCGGCCGTATGGAAGATTTTCGCATTAAGGTGAGTTTTTTGCCCATAGGAACGCATTAAACGGGTTTTAATGCATTCCTATGGGCTTTTTTAATTTCGCATAGCGACAAATCCATATAGCAACAATTTTGGCTGCAGAGATTATCATCGCTATGTGGAGCACCACTGTAGTTTGATCCATGATTATTCCTCGGCATAGTTGGAGAGCCAACAGCAATGCTGGTTGCATAAATAGAGCATGTAAAAAAGTTAATAAGGAAGTTTGCAGAGCAATGGTTGATGGCTTAAGATCAGTAATATCTGGACACCCGGAGATCTGATTGGACCGACCGGAGCTATGTAGAGGTGATGGGGTTCATTTATTCTGAGGCTGGTTTAGAGATTTTCTTGAGGGATCTTTGTAGGGGCCTGTGTGCCAAATATTTTGGCTGGATGGGGGGAATGGAGCATAGCAAGCTTGCCCATTCGATGGTGGGTAGTGTGGAAGGAAACTGAATCGATGAGTGCCCATGGAGTTCAAGCAGTGCATAGTGGGTCTGAACTTTCAGCACTGCAGATCGTGAGGTTACAGCGCTGAGAGGAAAGACCTGCTGGGGCCCTCCCCGGCCTGAGGGCCGCTAAAGGCAGGGGGCTTGCATGCCCAGGAGGGGGGGGCTTGATATTTTGCCAGCCAGGGCCATGATGTCTCAGGGACAGCACAACAACGGGGCATGGGACTCGCCAATAGAGCTTGATGAGGGGGTCCTGTGAGACCTTCAGCATCAAACCTCATACTGCACTACCGCAGGCCCCTGGTTTCTAAGCTGTAAGTTATGGCATGTTGATTTAATAAAGTGTGGCCCTATTTTTACCCATCACTTGCGTCTCATCTCATTATTCCAGAGTGGGAGGACAAAGCAAGATGTACAGATCTCTCATCTCTAAGCAATTGTGTGTGGTACTTTCATTCAGTTACCATTTATTTATATAGATTAGAGGATGTAGCTTTTCTTAAATATAAAATTTTACTTACTTTAGAATGTTTGTTTATGCATTTTACTGTTACCCTGGAGACCAGAGCTGTGTAATTTCTAGAGATCCAGAGATAGCACATACCTATCATCAGTCTTAAGACTGTCAAATCTGGTCCTGTGACCCCCTAAAAATGTTTTCTTGTAAAATTTTCGTTAGAACTGGGAAACCTCATTGGAACCCTCTAGTGCAGCCAGCCTCAACTTTTTGCTGTTGTTGGGCATGACCATGAACACAATATGGAAGAAATTTAGGCCGAATCAGGGTTGTATAAGCCACATAATGACCTTATATGGTGATTTGTGAAGAATTGTTTCCAGTATGTGGTCCCTTTCAAATATGCCAGGTCCCACCAGGGGGGCATATGCCCCCTATTGAGAATAGGTGCTCTAGTGCAGGGGTCATCAACCTCTGGTCCGCGGCCCTGTGCCGGTCCGTGGGCTTGCTGGAACTGGGCCGCGGACACGGGTCTCCTCCCCACCCGGGGTGTGTTGCACTTGTGGAGGGGCATGCCATGCTGGTGCTAAACCTTCCCCCAGCACCCCTCACAGGAGAGGGCGGCCTCCCTGCCACCGCTGCCACCGAGTGTGGCTCGCCTTCCTGGGCCTCCCAGGAAGGCGTGGCGGAAGGGGAGAAAGAGGCAATGCCAGCCCAAGGATCATCCACCACTCAGGGGTGGCGGCGGCAGGGAGGCCACCCTCCCAGAACCTCGGAAGTTCTGCGGACAAGCCCGGCCCAGCCCACCTTGACCCTATCTCAATGTGGGGGCGCTCACTACCTTGGTTCATGCACTCGTAATCTTGAGATTAGACCACTGTAATGCGCTCTACGTGGGGCTACCTTTGAGGCTGATGCGGAAACTCCAAGTGGTGCAGAATACAGTGGCCAGACTCCTTAGCGGAGCGAGAAAATACCATCACATTTCTCCTATTCTGGCCGCGCTGCACTGGCTGCCCATTTGGTTCCGCGCTGACTTCAAAGTTCTGATGCTTACGTTCAAAGCCCTAAACGGTTTAGGACCTCGATACTTGGTGGAACGCTTACTCCCACCCAGTTCTACCTGTGTCACTCACGTGAGACAGGAGGTGAGGCTGAGGAGCCTGACGCCGAGGGAGGCCTGGAAGGAAAAAATAAGAAACCGGGCCTTCTCGGTGGTGGCCCCTCGGCTGTGGAACACCCTCCCTATCGAAATTCAGCTGGCACCCTCGCTGGGCATTTTCAAAATCCAGTTGAAAACTTGGCTATTCAAGCAGGCCTTCCCTTCAGTCAATTAAGTGCTTCTTATTTCTTATTTTTATATTTGATCTATGCCATCTTGGAACTGTTTACTTTAAATTAATTAATTGTTAAAATTGTAAACTTATGATTTATATTTTATATTGCTTTGTTTTTACCTATGTAATAATTGTGTATATTTTAAATTGTTTTTATTGTATATGTTGTGAGTCGCCCAGAGTAGACTATGTCTAGATGGGCGGCATATAAATGCAATAAATAAATAAATAATAAATATCCAGAAAAGACCATTCCTTAGAAACTTTGAGGCCTATATCAGAGCAGTATATTCTAGAAGCCATTACAATGGGAAGCTGAATTTTTCCACTAGCACCACACTGGCTGCACACAGGATTAAATTTACTTTTAGCCTTATTTTGACCTCATGTCCTTCCCTCCCTTTTTTTCTCTAGGGCGGTTGCAAGGAGACTGTGAGCTTTTTATTTAAACTGATAACCAGATGGGAAACTGTGGTCATTTGCTACATTTTCATGAAACAAGCTATGGTAGTTAACCATGATTTGACTTGTTTCACTACGCCATAGTTAATGCAATTCATAATTTATCTGAAGTTGGACATAGCAAATAACAGTGGTTAGTTGAAAGGATTTAATATTCTCATAGCTGTGCCAGAGCAAGGAGGAGAAAGCATATGATCTAGAGGCTAAATCATGTCACTGTAAACTACAGTTCAGCTCTACAGCAAAGGTGCAATTTTTGAAACTACAGTGGTGCCTCAACTTACAAATGTCCCGACTTACAACTATTTCAAGTTACGACCAGCTCCAGCCACAAAATTTTGCTTTGACTTGTGATTGGAGCTTCAAGTTACGATCAAAAAAAGGCAGGGGAAAAAGGCAGGAAATTCAAATTGCTAACCATTGGTAGGCAAAGAGGCTG